GGGGCTGTGTTACTTTGTGGTTTTCTGGCCTCCTCCCTACTTTTCTCCTTCCTCAGCCTCGCTTGCAGGGCTTCCATGGCAGGGACCTGTAGCAAAAAGTAACGTAAAACGCACTCTGTAACGTAAGGCGCACCTTGCATACCACGTTGGCTGGGCTGCATTTCTTGTTGTGGTTGTTGTTGTGTGCCTTCAGGTCGTTTCGGACCCATGGCGATCCTAAGACAAACCTATCGCAGGGTTTTCGTGCAAGATTTGTTCAGAGGGGCTTTGCCTTTGCTTCCCTCTGAGGCTGAGAGAGTGTGACTCACCCAAGGTCACCTAGTGAGTGGGGATTCGAACCCTGGTCTCCCAGTGTCCTAGTCCAATGCTCAAACCACTACCCCACACTGTCTCTCCAGGGCTATATAGGCAGAAGCAAGGATGCCAAAGACAAACAATAAGCCTGCCTTAAACCTAATCTCTGAAAGCAGGCTAAAAGCAGTTGAATTCGACCAGATCTGTTTCTAGGCTCAACCTAAATTAGAGGCCTGTCTACAATAGACCCAAAGGCCTGGTTCGGATTGTGAGTGCTAATTTTGTAGTTGTGTTCATTCAAGACGTTTGCAACCCTACCATGGGTTTTTCTTGGCAGGTTTCTTTAGAAAGAGTTTGCTATTGCTTGCCATCCTATGAGGCCAAGAAAGTGTGACTTGCCCAAGGTCACCCAGGGGGTTACCATGGCAGAGCCAGGATTCGAACCCTGGTCTCCAGAGTCCTAGTCCACTGCTCAAACCACTCCACCACTCTGGCTTTCTAACTAAGGGCCTTTGCAGACTGCCAGAAATAGTGCAAATTGAGTCCACTTTTAGGGTTAGGGTTAGGGTTAGGGAATCATGGGAACTGTATTTTATTGTGGCACCAGAACTCTCTGACAGAGAAGGCTCAATGTCTCAGAAAAAAACAACACAACAATTCCCATGATTCCCTAGCACTAACCCTAATCCTTAAAGTGGACTCAGTTTGCACTATTTCTGGCAGTCTGCAAAGGCCCTAAGATGATCCTATTGGATCAACATTTATGCAAGCCTCCCTGTTTCAATGACCCTACTCTAGTTGAAATAATTTAATCCCGATTAGAGAAGAGTGGTTGGATCAATTTTTGGATCTGGGATGATGAGGATGGTTTTGAACTAGGTTGGCAACTTGTAGCTGCAGATGCTTTGGACCAAAAAGTAGGCTTTGCCTATGGGTTCGGCTTAAGCGGATTGTGCAGTCTGGAAAAAGATGGTGAGTGGAGGGTGAAATCCAGACCAGGCCTTCTTCTTCTGCTGAGTATTTAATGTGGCCCAATGGAGGGAGAAAGAAAATCCACCTGCCTTTTGGATTTCATTTGTAAGCCTGGTGGCTTTAGGAATTTGGGGAGAATTTGAAAGATTTGTGTGTTGTTGTTTTTTAAAATCTGAGAAGAGAACTTACATTGTGTGTATGTGGGAAATTGCTGATGCATCAGGGACACCTAATACAAATGGAAATGCTTTCATTTGATTTTAGATTCCAATTCAATGTTTATTTTATTTTTTTAAAAATAATTCAATTCATTTTTTCCCCAAAAAAGGAGCCAAAATGACTATTCAGTTTTCTTAAGCATAAAATCCCATCTACTTCACCTCAGATCTCTGTAGGCTTTTTCGAGTTTCACCCCTCTCTGCTTTAAGGCCAACTGCATTTCTGAAAGAATGCATTTTAAAAAGTAACCATTTTCTTTCTCTTATAGATAGAATAAGAAGAGCCAATTGATCTGAAGACTGCCTTCTTTTCTCTTTCTTTCTTTCTTTCTTTCTTTCTTTCTTTCTTTC